TACATTCATCTGCAGGGGCACAAGAACTAACCTCTCCCCTCCTCCCAAGATATTTTATTTCTCACGTTTTCTCAAAAACAGAGCAAGCTAAGGTAGAATTTAAAAAATCGTAGATCATGTACAGTTACACTTGCTGAGGTATGTTCCATGTTTTCCCCTTGTCTCTTAGCCCGAAAATTCATTCATTTTGCCACTCTCAAAAATTGAAAAACCCGTCGAATATGCCCCTCTCAAAAATTTTGATGGTCCAACTTGCACCATGAAACCACCTTCTGGCCATCTCTGTCGATCTATTTAATCTTTTGATTTACATTTGATCAATAAAAGTCTTTTCAACATTTTTTTTGTTTAGTTGGTCTTGTTAAGCAAAATAATTTTTTTTTTTTAGTTTTTTAAAGCTTTATTTTTTTTTATTTTCTAAATTATTTTTTATGTTAAAACAATGTAGATAAGAATAATAAAAAGATGCCTTCTTGTATATTATATATTTTTTTCTTAGATGAGAATACAACACATATATACTGTTAGAAAACATGTTTTTATTCTTCCGTCAATATTTTCTTTTATCCATCTTTCTACTTTGCCTCTCAGAAATACAGGAATGCTATTTTACTGTGGGAGCATTGTGATGAAAATGAGAACCTGTGTTTTGGAATGCCGCCATCATCTTACAGTTCCCTAAACTCAGAACAGATAATGACAACGTGCTCTGCATTTTCTTGAGCATTACAACTGGGGAATAACAGCTTGTATTTTATTTTTTGGAATGGTCCAAATTCCTCGACTCATAAAACAGGCCTCCTAAAAAGCAAGGCTAACTAGATCAGTCACTTAATGAATACCAGGCTATTTGCGCTTATCATTTCATCAATAACTTCTGATTTTATACCGAGCTTATTAAGCATAGGTTCTTACTTTTTCGATAGCTACCTTAGGCTGCTGGCTTATTATTATATTTGTTTATTTTGTTTTATTGTACTTATCATTCTTTTTCTATGTTTGCATGAAAAAACAAAAACAAATGTATCTGTGAAGGCTATGCAAAGGTGTTTATAAAACAGCTGTTAATTATGTGCATTGTTTTTCTCTCCTTTATTCCTGTTGCTTGATGTTGTTGTTTAGTTAATAATAGTTAATAGTTTGATTACTTAAGAACATTTCTTGATTTATAAGTTTATTCAATATTTTCATTTTAATTATTGACTCAATGTTGTATGAAATTTGATTAATATTATCTCATTATCAATCAGATTATTTATGAGTTATTTCCATTTACTGATTGCATTTTTTAAGAGCTCTGATATTACGTTGAACAAGACCAGTTTATTTTTCTAAAAATGGACTCTTTATTTTCTATTTTTAATCTGCAATGGTCATCGTTTGAAATATTGTTCATCCTAATAACCACATATTTTCTTGCAGTATTTATGATATTTGTTAATTATTGATTAACTTTACTTATCTGCATTTCATTTTTTGAGGATATTTATTCTCTGTTCTTATTATTCATTATTTTTTCTTGCTTTAATTACAATAAATAAAAAAATAATGATAAATGGTAACAGAGAATATCCCAGGATGTTAAAAAACGAAATGCAGACAAGTCAGTTTAATCTTCAATTGATAAATATTGTAAAAATCACAAGAAAAGATATGTGGTCATGAAGATGAGCATGAGTTTGAATCATTGACCATTTTAGTTTAAAAATAGAAAATAAGAGGCCAATCTTAGAAAATCAATTATGTAGAAAGTATTTTATTTTATTACTTTGAACATTGTTAAAGTTTTTAGTATTGGGTTGGCAAATAAGTCCTTTCGGTTTTTCAGAGTGAAATAAAACTCAATGTACTATAGACATAAAATTTATTTTAATCTACAATATATTGACCATTATTTAATATTACTTTTTCCCTTTTTTCCATTAACTGCATAATGCCATGTTCGTAGAATGTCTGGAGTTTATTGTTAAAAAACTGATCCAAGTGGTTTTTGATGTCCTCTTCCTTTTGGAATTTCTCTTCATTCATGGAGTTCTGCAGATACCGGAATAAGTGGTAGTCACTTGGAGCTATGTCTGGTGAATAGGGAGAGTGGGACAAAAGTTCCTTGGATGGGAACTTTTGCCCCACTCAATAATTTGAGTTGAAACTCAAATGTTGTCTTGGTGGAACACAACACCCTTCCGATCACTCATAACTCTTCAGCATGTTCTCCAAATTTGATGTTACTATATCAAATCTGAATTATTGCTCTTCAAAGCCGTATGAATGTTTTTTTTAATTTAATGCCTACATAAGGAATAAATAAACAAAAACTCCTTATAGGTTTTTATTTTTTATCTCCATTTGTATTTTTTTTACGAAAGTCCTGTTGATGTCATTTTGTGTAGTTTATGTGGCCCTAAATTTCTTGTAGATAGCTAAAGTCGTATTGAAGTTATAACATTTTATTGTATAACATCCAAACATTAAGCCTGGAAGCATAACCGAGCTTGTGCAAATGGTTTTCTACACTTGTGTGTGACACATTTAGGGCCTTAACATTGCTCGTTTCAATCTTATTTGGGCGACTAGACCGTTGAGGATCCTTGATATCAAAATTTCCTGAATGAAATTTGGCAAACGAATTTTGACAGGTGCGTTCGGTTAAGGCATCATCCCCATAAATACTGAAAAATTTTCTATGAGCTTCTGCAGTACGCTTACCTTTCTTGAAAATAATACAACAAATAAATGATATTTTCTTTCATATTCACAGTGCAATAGCAAACACAATACTAAGCTAGTTTCAACAAGAGTTGACAGATATAGTTATTGACATATTACAAACAGGATAAACAATCCACCTTGAGGATTAATTCATCAGATAAGAAGTGTATCATAGTGATATAAAAATTAACAGAAAAACCAAAAGGACTTATTTGCCAACCCAATATAAAAATGGATATAAAATTCAAATAAATATATTCTACAGTTATTTACGAAACATTTTTTAAAATTTAAATGAAATATAATGAAAATTTTAATACTGAAAATCTGCATTTTGTCTTCAATAGTTTTGTTATATCTGATTGCAATTTATTTAATGAATATTGATGAATGAGAAGTGCCATTCCCAGTTGGATCAGGCTCAGGTCATTTGATGGTTTCTTATTAATTGATTAATTCTTTGCTTGCCAGTTGGATTACTGTAGTTAAGAGTTAAATGAAATCAATATTATAAATTAAAAATGCTAAAGTGACTAGTATATAAAAGTGATATTTTAATAAAGACACATTATTTATAAATATAACGAAACATAATTATTGAAGGTTATTTATATTTTAACTGTAACTTATGAAATTTCAGACTGTATAACCGCAATTTTCATCACTTTTTGTCGTGCTTTTGTAGCTTATACTGATCCTTAAAAATGCATTCAATGAACCATTTTAGAATATAATTGAAAAATTCTAACACTAGTGACTCTAAAACACTAGTGAACAAATCCATCCATAAACTTTTTTTTCAATTTAGCCATCATCAGGTCAGAAATTACTTTAATCACCATTTAGCCATAATCAGGACAGAAATTACTTTAATCACCATTTAGCCATCATCAGGCCAGAAATTACTTTAATCATCATTTAGCTATCGACCCAAAAGACGCATTAACAAGAGACATTACATCACTTCATTTCTGAATTGGCTGAACATTGAGTTTTATTTATTTTATAGGCTTATGGTGTAGTGTTTGGAATTTTTCAATTATATCCTAACATGTAATTTATATCTATTTTTGATTTATTTGCCTTTTATATGAACCATTTTATTATTTATGTTTAATTGTATCAAAGCAATATGACATTATTTTAAATTTAACTATTCTTAACTTAATTCTTGAGTTTTCTGATTACACAAATAGATGTAGTAATGGAAAAAGTTCTCATCATATTGACATTCTGTAAGAACAGTTTTGAAGTGTCCTGCTCAAGCTTGGCCTTGTGTGTGTGTTCGGAAATATAAATCAATAAAATTTATTCAGATATTTCATCTTTCTCTTAAGCATGCAAATAAAAAGTGGAACAGGAAATCTAGTTCCTAAATTTAAAAAAAGCCTTTTCTATCTCCTGAATACTTTTAGTTTTTCAAAAAATTATAGGCTAAAATTTGTATTTATTAGAAATTAATTCTTTAGTTATATATTATATTCTTTATTATATCTACAATATATTTGAAACTTTAAGCATCAAGTAAATATGGTTGTATCAATAAACATTTTTGATATTCTTGACAAATGTCAATTCTACTTTATATTAGGGTACTTGTGTATAGTAGGTTTCTGGGACCTTTTTAGTCTTGCTTCAGGCTGACCGGGTTACAGGGAGGAAGAAAGAGACAGAACGAATGTATTGGGATAATTAAGAGTTGAAGAGTGAAACGTGGTACATTTGTCGTATAGTTAGGACTTTACTTATGCTTATGGTACTATTTGAAATAAACCTAGGTTCATTTACAATTTTTTGAAGAATTTTGGATTGTGGAATTGTTATTTTATTTACGTGAACTTGTTTTGCTCACCCACAAAGTTCGGTTTCATGTTTCCAAATATGTTTTAGTATAATATTGTGGATTAGTTACTTGTTTTATAAGTTGAGTGGAGATCTAAAGTCTACAAACTATGAAGTTGATTATACACTCTGCGGTGAGTGTTCTGTCCAAGTATAATCCGAGGTGCTGTACATAATTTTTTGAAGGAACTGGGTTTTGTCTACTGTTAAAGCAATGCGTGAATCTTTCCACAGGGAAAACCTGACATGGTTTGATTTTCTGGAATTTATTTTAATTTTTCATTTGTGGAACCTCTTTTCAAGATCAGAGAAATGGTTATGAAGGACGATAGATGCGATATTTAGATTTTTTTATTACTGATAATTATTTCATATTGCTTTGAGCTCATTTATTTGTTACGTTAATTTTTTTTATGATTATAATACTAATTTGTATGAAAATTTTTCAGTCCATCGACACAGTCCTTCTCACCAACGGCTCACTCCTGAACCTGTGGTGGAAAAAGATGAAGGAATTTCAGATGAAGAAGATCCATCAGAGCTCAAAATTCTTCTTGAATTAAATGAACAGGTACATTCCGATGAGTTGTCATTTTTCATCTTTTAAAAATAATGTATTGCTATCCTGTTTTGGTTAGGAAGCATCGGTTCTCAGGAGAAAAGTCGAGGAACTGGAAAATGAAAGGGATCACTTGAACAAGAAAGTGAAAGAACTTCAAGAGAAAGTTAGTTACAAAGCTTCGGAAATGAGTAAACGTGCTCTGATTCAACGGGCTGAACCAAAAAAATCTAACGGTGTCTATGAACAAAAAATTAAGGTAATTTCATTTCTTTTTAGTTATCTTCTAAAAATAAATTTATTTCAGAAACGAATAAATATTTTATTTTCAGGTATTGGAGGATGAAATGAGCGAGTTGAGAAAAAAACTTATAGAAAAAGAAAGAGAATGCGAAAGGTTACATGCGGAGCTTACTATTGCTCCCAAAAAGGTCAAGACAATGCAAAAGAGCAAGTAAGGACTTTGAACTTGTTGAATCACTTGTATTAGTAGCTAAGAACTTAACTTATTGAATCATTAGTATTAGTAGCTAAGAACTTAACTTATTGAATCACTGGTATTAGTAGATAACCTTGATATCACTAGTATTGATAGCTAAGCCCTCGATATCAACTTATCAAAGGCCAAAACGCACCGTGAACAAAAACTAATACAGATACCTGTCACTGTACCTTATCTAATCTTGATCAATTAGGACGAGTAATATCAGTTTATTCTATCTTAAACTGTCTCTAACTTATTGTATAGCTTTTATAGAATACAAATCTCAAACCTAAAAAATACTTGTGTAGCAGGCAGAAAAAAATCAATAAAAGTAAATTTAAAATAAATAAATAGGTTCCTCTCTTTCACAAACTTTTTTAACAAACATGTTTTTACATTTTAGTTATATTGCTATATTTACATTTCTATTCCACTTCTGTATCTCTATTTCTCCTCTTCCAAATTCTACAAGTTAGTTACTGATATAGGACACAATTAGCCTATAAGATATTGAACCACAAGCCCAACAGCTTGATGTAAATTATTAGCTACCCATAAACAATAAATGTTAATCTCCTGACTAATTTCTAATCAAACAAGAAAGCTATCCATTAAAAATCTGGTGTGCGCAACACATCTTTCACTTACCACAATTATTTTCTGGCAATGTTGGGATATTATAAAATTTTTTAAGTGCATTTTTAACCGAGCTAAAGCTTAAAGCTTACAGTTGACAAATCATTAAAATTACAAAAATCCTATTTATTATATCAATACTTGATTATGGATTGTACGACTATTAGTTATTAAATTCTTATTTTCCATTGCAAAGTATACAAAAATCGAAGAACGAGATTTGCATTGCCTGTCATAGATAGGTCAAAAGTTGTCACACTAATTGTAAGTGGATACTGTTGGTATATCACAAAGGAGAAATTAATCAAATTATTCACTACTTTAATTTTCTAAAATTTTACATGATGATTTTTCAGAATAAACTGACAGTAGATACCTAATTATTTAAATTCAATATCAGATCAAGAGTTACTAAACTACAGTATATCTATTTAAGGTTATAAGCATATCTATGAAATATTTTTATATTTTACTTCTTCTTTCACACAAGTACATTGAAATATTATTTTAAACAATGTCATTGCCTTGATTCGGTGGATCTTAATACTTGTTTACATTTAGAAAGAAAATTCCATCTAATTTCCTTGGGAACAAGTGTGATTTACTTTAAAGTGTTAGTTTTCAGAAAGTATTATTTATATTTTTTTTTGTCACTCTCCATTACCTTCTACAATTTTATTTATTAGATATTATTTTTTCTAAAATTCTCCGCTTTCTATCGATATATTATACATATACCTTATAACTATTATTTCCAGAGGTTCATTTTTGATCTGCATTAGCATTTTTCTTTTTTTCGCCTTTGTTTAGTTATCAGATTCTTTCAAAAGTGATATTTAGCCTTTTTTCATTACTCATAAGAATGAGAGATAGTTAATTATTTAAAATAAACCAAATTAAAGGTATTTAAGCCCTGTTAAGTTAACTTCAGATCGAAACATTGGCAAATGTCAAAATAAATATTATGATTTATTTTTTACCTTTTTATTTCTGGCTGATCACCCCAACCATCCTTCTCTTCATTATTATTATTTATATATTATATTTCATATTATTAATCTCATCTTGTTGATTTTTTTACTTGATAGTTTTTTTTTAATAATTGACTGATTTATGAAATTATGATTTAAAGATCACTTGACGGAGATCAGCAAACTGTCGATCTGAAACGGCAACTTCAGGTAGTCGAAACAGAAGCTAATATTCTTCGCACTAAGACACAAAATCTGGAAACAGAAAATGAAAAATTACTTTCTGAAAACAAGAAACTTTCTCTGATCGCTGCATCAAAAACTCGTTCTAGCTCAGTTGAAAGGACATTGAATGAATCCAAATTGGTTTCTTTAGAAAAACAGCTTGAAGAAAGTAATAAAAAGGTATTATTAATATTTTCTATCAATTAAATGGGAAATTTCCATTAATACAGAAACTATGGCATATAAATCAATTTAGTCATTTCAGTTCATTGGTTTATTTTTTTTTCTTTCAAATAGAAATCCATTTTCAAAAATTTGTATCTGTTGCAATATTGTAATAGAAGTGATTATAAATATTTGTCTATTAAGATCATGAAGTGTTTATATTGAGAATTTTTATAAACTTGTTTTATAGATAAAGGAGCTAGAAAGTGCTAAAAAAACACCTACCGTTAAATCTGATAGCACAACAGTAGTGGAAGTGGAAAAGTTGAAAAATCAATTGAAGAAGGTAAGTTGACTTCATATTCTCCTTTGCTTTATGTATTCTTTCTTAATACAGTTGTAAATATCACAACAAAAAAACTCTCCTTTATAAAAATATTTCTTATTTTTTCAAAACTTTTTAACCGTTGTATTAAACAACTACAATACTCATTGTTTCTTAAAAAGATTTAAAGTGTCATGAACGTCCTACTAACATTTGTTAGTTGATTTTCTTGTTTGTTTTTTTTTTATTTGTTTATTGTATAAAATCGAATATTTTTCCTTACAATTCTTCCACATCCATTGCAAATTTTATATTGAACTAAAATAAAATAATTTGAGAGGTTTTGCAGTGAAAATAAGCGGGAAAAAGGATGACATTGAGGAACAAACCCACACAGCAGGGAGTAGGTAGGGTGGGTGGGGGAAGCTGAGTTAGCTTCCAAAACCGAACCTCGGTCGAGCCAAAGCTGAGCTGAGCTGATTCTTGCTACACCACTCAGCTACATGGTGGCCACCCTCTCATTGAAAATTTTTGATTAGGTTTCGGAAGCTGACTCAGCTATGCTCACCTGCACTTTCGGTGGCTGAATAGCCTTAGAGATAATGTCAGTAGAGATAGATTATCTATATTAAATTGCCAGGTTTATCCCCTATCAAATGCTACCAGCTGTTTCTATTGTTTTAATGAGTTTAAGAGCTATGATGGATTTTCTGATGACTGGAATGGTTTTTCGAAGTTAGGATTGGTCAAAAGTAATTTTTTTACATTTTTTTTTATTTACAGACTTCTGAAACTTAATAGGATTTTGTGTGGAGGTTTATATTATGCGACTTTAATTGGATTTCTATAAAATTATTTAATGAGTAATATCTGTAACATTGCTTATCATCTTCAGAACCATCTCCATTCAAATTATGCTTTGTCATTTGACCTTTGTTTATATGTTGTTTTTTGTATATTCCTTTTACTTATATTTCTCTAATTACGATTCACAGTTTTCCGATCACTAATAACAAATATAGAAACAATAACTTTCAACACTATCAGTCAACTTCTGTTTTCTCAATTACTCGTTTGATATTAAATACCATATTATATTAAATATTATCATTTAATTTATTTGCAAGATATTTTTACAGGCTGAAAATGAGAAGAAGAAAATTGAAGAAACATTGCAAAGGCTCAAGGAAGCTGCTCTTACAGAGGCAGTTAAATTTTACCGATCACGGACACCTAAGAAGCCAACTGACATTACAACAAAATTGCAATTGAAGAAGATGGTCGATGATCTGGAAACTGAAATCGGTGAGATATTTACGCTAGGGGAACATCTTATTGAACTTTTAAAGATTATTAATTTAGGAAATACATTTTGCAGCTGAAATTATAGTTCTTTTAAATAAGGCAGAAGAAAATAATAAGCAGTTATCGGAAAACCAGAGCGGGGTAGCAAATGAATCATTGAAAGGAGAGCTGGATGAAGCCAAATCAAAGTTTGAAGCTTTGATAAAAGAAACTAAAGAAGAATGCAAAAAGAAGGACTCTGAAATCGAAAGACTCAATAATATGATTCAAGATCTCGAAAGTGGTAAAAATAAATAAAATACCCAGATTTAAAAATATTTTCTGATTAGTTACCTTTACATTAGCTGATTTAATCATTGTTTTTTAGATAAATTAAAGGCTCTGAGAGATAGAGATGCAAGTAAAACTAAATTTGAAAAGGAAATTGAAAAACTAAAGGATACTAAGACTGATTTAGAGAAGCAAAGAACAGCAGCAAAAGAAGAAATAGATAAATTAAAAAATGATATCAGTGAGTAATTAAATAAATCTTTTTTTCCCAAATGGTTCTTGAGATCTTTAACTGTCTATTTAAAATATATAATATAAGAGATGAGATATGTAATAAATCTATCGAATCTTTTGGTTTCAGCACATTTCAAAACATGTATTTTAGTCAAAATATACGATGCAACATAAACTGTTTGAAGTGAAATCTTCTTTAGACGCGTTTTTCACTTTTTTTGTGGAGCGTGAATTAGATTGAACCGTCAGCTCTCCGATGTGTAACACTGGGGTAAAGTTGGCTGATGTAGATTAATTGAAGTGTTTTTGTGTAAGGATTGTAATATCTAAAAATCGGACCTCCATATTGTTAGTGAGGGAAATATTCATTATTTCATCCTCTTTCTAATGAGCTATTATTCAAAATTTAATCTTAACGTGATGCCATGATAGAGAGGCAAAAAGAGAAAAAATAATGTCGAAAACAAAATATTTTTTATAGAAGATATGGATTAAAATATCTCATGCTTTAAGCAAGTGATTTGTTCAGCATTTCATCCTCTTTATAATGAGCTATTATTTATAATTTATATTTCATATTATTAATTTCGCCTTGTTGATGTTTTCACTTCTAAAACAGATACGTTAGTTGTGTTTTTTTTCTGCAGGAAATATTTTGGCAAGGAGTCAGAACCTTTAGAATTCTTATAGGCTTTTAACTGTTTCAGAGGCTAGTGCTGTTTTGCAAACTGAATTGCAGGAATTGAAGAAACAGATTGAGTCGCTAAATAAAGATTTGAAGAAAGAGAAAAGCTTGACATCAGAGCTGAAGGCAAAACTTGAGGTTGCTGATAAGGTAACTCAAGACAGTTCAAAACTACAAAAAGAGGTAATCTTTTCATTTATATATTTAATTTACATATTACTTTTACTCGTCTGGATATGTAGTATAGATGAAAAATGCAGTATAAAACACCTTTTTTGTTCTTTGAGGTGTAAATAACCTGTTAAAGTTTAGTTTTAAATAATTAGTTTTGGTGGGAATAGTAAATATTCTTCCACTTTTATATCGGGGAACTAGGTTATTTACACTCGTGATTATTAAAACAAAATCCCGGCACTGGATATAGACTTCTTGAGGGTGTTTAACTGTTGTTGGGAATTCGGGAATCTAATACCTTTTGTAACACTGAGTGAGAAGAAACAATAAGAATACATATATCTGAAATGTGGGACTTAGTAAACACCCTTTGAATGAATTGAATCACCTGGTTTGTTATTCTTCAGTTGTGAGTTATATAGGACAACTAAATAAAATGACTTTTCACTCCTGTATAATAAAACAATTTATTTTACAACTGTGATAAATGAATGTATAAAATTCTTATAACTGTCAGCTTGATATTCTTAGTCTTCGATGTAGTAGGCCTCTCTTCCCAGATGACGTCTTCTCCTCTTCGTGTCCAGGCCTCAAGTGCCCTTCTCGGCGTCCTCCTGCCAGCTGTTGCTAGCTACCTGCTCTGACCTTTTTCCAGTGTCCTTCTTCATCGATTGTTTATAGATATGAGACTTTTCCATGAATAATTTGTCCACTGCATAATTGAGTTTCACAGTGCAACCTCACATTCTTACATATTATATATTTCTTCTCATACCCTCACACAATATCACATAAAGGAGTAAATACAGGGGGATGTCTACTACAACTTGTCTGGATATGTAGTATAGATGAAATATGTAGTATAAAACACATTTTTTGTTCTTGAAGGTATTAAATTTATTTCAATGAGAATAGGAATTTTTAAATTATAACCTTCATATTTCCTTTAACACTGTATTTATCAGGTTTGAGAAGAGCAATCTCAATGTTATCTTCTTTATCCATTGAATTCTGTCGCAGCTCCAATTTACCTGAATTTTCTCTATTCATGTACCCAATTCCTTTTTTTTTTTTTTTTTTTTTTTCTAATTTCTTCTGATTATTCTGTATTTACTTATTTTTTCAAGATTGCGGAAAATGACAAAAAAATTGAAAATTTAGAGAAAAAGTTATTAGAAGTGGAAGAGAAGTTGAAGAGGTCTGAAAAACTTGCAACATCTAAAAAAGAAAAGTTACTCAAACTTGAAAAGGAGGTAATTCATTTTGAAAATAGTTAATTTAGCTCTTCCCAATTATTACTTTATATCTCAAAATTTAAGACAGTATTATTTAACATTCTCTTAATATAATGGCTTCATTAGTTTCGGTAATTAAATTCATATTGCAATATATTTTAGTTCATTTATTTATTTATATTTTATTTGTTTAACATGACAGTTCGCAGAGCTTAATAAGAAGTATTCTACTTTGGAGAAAAATAATGAGTCTTTGTCCATTGCCAAACATGAAGTTGATGCAAAGTTTGAAGATGCTGAAAGAAAACTAAAGAAACTCCAAGAAGAACTGGAAAGCAAAAACTCTGAAATAAAGAAACTAGTATGCAATTTAAATTTGTTTACTTTACCATAAATTAGAGGGTTATGTAATTTTGAATTTCGGTATGAAAAGAGTCATTTTTCTTTTTGTAGGAAGTGGCTGCAAAGAAGAAAGAAAGACCTGTTAAAGCTGGTGATTCCAATGAAAATCAGCAGCAAATAGCCAATGCCAACAACATGATTAAAGATTTAACTATCAAACTTGAGAAGGTCCTTCAATGTCTGATAACTTTTCTTGCGCAGAACTTCAGGTTTATGGAACTAACTAATAGTTGTTTGTTTTCAGGCTGAAAAAACAATAAAGGAAAAAGAGGAAGAGTTGAATGAAAAAGAAAAAGAAATTGAAGATTGGGAGAAAAAGACAGCTGATCTGGAAATGGACTACCAGGTAATAATTAATAATAAGATATTAACGGATTTAATAATAATAAATTAGCTCAACAACCAGTTCTTTTGGATGTGGCATAAATAATTATAAAATTGTTTAATGTTTTTAAAGATTATTGTCTGGAGTTGTCCCGTACTTCGGTTTTCAGAGTCAGATAATAATAATAAATTTTATTGCTCAAAAATACAAAATGTTATCAATAAAATGAGTTGGCTTTCAAATTTATTATTTTTTTCTTTATAAAATTCATCTTCATTACAAAATTACAAAAATAAAATATTTACATTTTATAACACCATAGATCTAAAACTTTGGTGATGAGAATTTCTTATTCGAGTTCACGTATGTTTAAGTTGACAGAATAAATGTGTTTAAGTTGTAGGAACAAAACAATTATTTTTTTCTTTATAAAATTCATCTTCATTACAAAATTACAAAAATAAAATATTTACATTTTATAACACCATAGATCTGAAACTTTGGTGATAAGAATTTCTTATTTGGGTTCACGTATGTTTAAGTTGACAGAATAAATGTATTCAAGTTGTAGGAACAAAACAATTATTTTTTTATTTTACTGTCTATATTTTTTCATATCTTGTTACCTAAAAAAAATAATGTAAATGTTATGGTGGAAAATTAGTTTAAATTTGGAATGAGCACACTTCAAAACATGTAATTTAACTAAAATATCCCATACAGAAAAAACGCAATATAGAGCAATCTTCGTTAAGATTCAGTTATTTATTTTCTTTGATTTATGAATTATATTTCTAATATAAGATTTTTTAGCATTTAAAATTCTTTTTGTAAGCATTTGTTTAAAACTTGTAATTGAGCTGTAACTGATAGCAGTAGTTTTTTAAAATATGTAATTACAATTAAGTTTTTAATATTATAAAATATTAACAAAAACAATTTTTTTAAGGAGTCGCCTGGCGGACAGTTGGTAGGTTACTTTGAGTTAAAAAGTTAATGAAATGCCTTTTTTAATCTGGTTCACAGTGTCAGTGTTTTAATATATGTGCAATTTATTTATTATGAATGTTGCATTACGTGAATGAAATAACGACAATAAGCGTGTTCCGAGCAAACAATAAAGGGGACTTGTGTCGGTGCTAGCTGAGGCTAAAGAATAAAACTAATTTAAACTTCAATTAGATAATCACTTGGAAATGCATTTTTTTTTTAATAAAGTTTTTATTTTGAACATGTTATTCTTAGCCTTTAGCTGGCGCCTGTAAATTCCAGGGGCAAAGAAACTACCAACGGTAGAGCCTCTTCAAAATTTAAGAACCGTGTTGAATATGTAAATAATTTATGCTTTTGGTGTCTCTGTCCATGAAATTTTATTTTATAACTAACATAATATGCATTTTAAGACATTTATCATTATCTGTGATTAATTGTTTAATGTTGGACATTTTAAATCAAACTTAAAAGAAATTAATAAAATTGTTCCAGTGTTTTTAACAAAATGGAAACAACGCCCATTTTATAACCAATCCATCTAAGAGAATGAAAACTATGTATGAATATAACAAAAGAATTTAAAAAAGAGATTGTGTAACTGTGTATTAATTATATCATTAAGCGGAAATGTTTGCTTATTTACTCAGCATCTATCATACTAATGCTTGCATATAATAATATATAATCCCCTATTTGTACTGAATTAACTTGGTTGATTTAGGCTAATCGCAAATTAATGGACAGATTGAAAGCAAATCACGAGAAAGAATTGAGAAATAAAGATACAGAGCTGGCTCAACTCAAATCCAAAATGTCGGAAGAAGGGCAAATAAAAGAACTGAAACAAGAACTCGAAGCAAAGATTGAATGTAAGCCATTCATATTTATATAAATAGGCTTTATATCATTGTTATCTTTACTTATTAATGTCTATTTATTATTAGCATTGGAAATAGCTCTAGAAAGTGAAAGGCATGAATACGACGAGCTAACTAAAAGGTATGAAGAGCTAGAAGAAGAGCACGTTGTGATGAAGGCTACTCTTGTTCAAGAAAAAGAAAAGATACAGAGGTAAGTAATAATCAGTCTTATCCATTCGGAAAAATTAGAAATACATTTTTATTTTATGTCAGAAGATACTTGGAGACTTCTCTTATAAGTGAACTTGTCTGTATTAAGAAAACATCCTTTATTATAACTTTTAAATTTCCTGGGAAGTCTTTGTCAGCTAACTTAATCTAATTTTGTGGTAAAGGGTGAATAATGTAGCAAGTAAAATAATGTAGAGGCATAAGGTGTGGTATGCTTAATCATTTGTTTAACTCAACTTCAATCTTCCTTCAAAAAGGAACTTGAGTTTTATGTACTCTTTCTAGCCAATTTGTTGCATCTTCTTCTCTTTATTGGGAGAAAAAAATGCCTTAAAGTATCAATTCAGCACCGAGTAAGTAAAAGAAGTAACGGGACTGCTTTAATATACAATAGCGATATAATTTTTGTAGAAGCATCTCTGCGCAATTATAATGGATGAAAGGAGTCCTTTTTCATTTAGTTTCATAAAAGTGTTCTTTTTTGAAGGAACAATCAAGCGACAAAGTTAGAGGAATGATTATGTATACCTTCCCTAGTCCACTCAAAATATCCAAATTGTGACAAACCTGTAGTAACGTAACTGCTTCTTATATTTTTTTATTAGTTAACTGTATTATATGACTAACATAAATAATTTACATTCTATGACAACGAGAATATATTATTACTGAGGTAATTAAATGATATCATAGTTATATAATTTTAGATATTATATATAAATAATTTGAATTAGTACAAAATTAGACATATTAAAAAATAAATATTTACAAGATGTTCTAAACATGAGGATGATGTCCTGAAAAATTAACATTTTAATGTTTTTGTTTTTTTAAACCAATAAAGTAAATTCATGAAGGAAGTCTAGTTTAATAAAAAACTAAAAGGATTCATCCACATGGTAGATGTTTTTCTGAATTATTGTAGATCAACATATGTAATTTGACATTAGCCTCTTTATTCTGTTCTAGCCAACTAGTCAAAGCTGCTAATGAGATGGAAGAAGTCGAAACTGAGCTGAGATCTCTTAAGGAATCATACAGCATCAAGCAAGAACTGTGGGCAAAGGAAAAGCATAGATTAGAGGTTTAAAATGTTATGTCAAATCATATTGTTTAGAGCAAGAAGTTGCAGCTAGTAATCGATAAGTTTGCTCTTGAATGTTTCAGGACAAGTCTAAGGATTGCGATACACTGATACTTGAAAAATCAAGGTTACAGGCAATTTGTGATCAAAAACAATCAGAAATAGAACAGCTTAGGAAGGAAGCAGGCGGTCTGTCTGAACAAGCTAATTACATGAGAAAAGACGTAGGAATTTTAATTAATTATTTTAAATAAATTCTAATTCTGGTGTTATGATAATTTATGGTTAAAAAATTATAACTCATAATTTCCAAATAGAAGATTTCATTTTTTGACATCATTAATATCATGAAATTATCTGCCATCGACTGGCAAGATCTCATATTCGTAGATCATATCTATATATATAAAAAATATGTCAGTATCTAGTACCTGATGGGCAATCAACTTTTCTGATGATTATCGCTAACAAATAACAGTAGAGAGGCTGAAAAATATTATTGTTATGCCTCCTTAGGTTCATGAACAATAAATGAAAACTCAGATGATATTAAGATTTTTCTTTGATTGGTATTTTAAAATAGTTTCTATCTACTCATATATAGTAAAGTAGTTGTTTTGTAGACATGAGGAATCAGTTCTTAGCCATTGTTATGTTACTTAATGCAAGATGGATGTATGTCAATATTTGATCTACTTGAGAATGATTTTGCAATAGTTAAAAAAAAAAATGTTTTATTTCAATGACAGAATAACAAAAAATAAACAATAGACCTTGTTGCAATGTATCTTGCTTAAGCCATTATATCTTTTGTATTGCAATTAACTTCTTTGACGTTACAACCCAAAATGAATCCTGGCCTTCTCAATGAGCCTACGCCTTTTTGATAGTTCATGCAACCCCCTTCAACTACTGGCACAAAGTAGGCTTTGTGAATCAGATGATACTCAGTGAAACCGAAGGCTACTGAGACCAGGTCCACCAACTTGTCTTTTCTTGTTGAGCTAATGTTCCGTCATCTTGTCTAGAATTTTGTTGTCTATTTTTCCTTACACTCCATTCAGATGTTCTCTAACTAGAACAGATATTTTAAAAAGTTTCATCATCATAGTTAGCGCAATAACCTGTTACCGGGTCTAGGCCTCCTCTAAAAGTCTCCACCTGTTGCTGCAGCTCTCCAGTTCTTAACGCCAAGGAGATTGCGTGCATCCGCTTTGACGGAATCAGCCGCCCCGGATAGGGGAGTGCGTCAGGGCGCTCATAGGAGGCAGCCCCTCCACCTGACTCGGGGACAGTGGGCCGATAACCCATTCTCCTAAAACTTAAATATCATGAAACCTCTACAAAGCACAGAAGCTGGACTGGTTTTAAGGAATAGACTAAGGAACTGCCATAATGACATAAGACTAGCCTATTGGAACATTTCAAAAAGTTTAAAATTCTTTTAAAAAAAAATTCTCTCAAAAATAAAAATAATTGACCAAAACAATGTCCATTCCATATACTTCATATAAGGTCCATAACTATGAACAATATATTAGGACAGCCTATATTTAAGTATTTTTATTTATTTTTTTAATTAAATAATGAAAAAAATTAATGTATATAAGCTGTATAAAATAAGAGTGTAAACAGGATCTTTGAAAATGAGATAATATAAGAATTTTTTGTACAAATGTTTGTAATTATTTGTATTAAAGAATTTTCTAATGATTTTAAATAATCAGGGTGGCGACCGACCAGGAAAACCTGGAAAAATGGGAAAAGTCAGGGAATTTTAAAAACAGGAAGAAGTCACGAAAAAATTTTTAAATTCAGGGAATTTTTTTAATACGTAAATATTTTTTCAAATTGGAAATAAATATACAGTGGATATCGTTCATAATGACCGTGAAGAGGTGAATTTTTTAGTTATAAACAACCATGATGGTGAGATGTTCATCCACCTTTGACTGTCAATTCAATAACGGCACTGGTCATTATATTGAAATCAAACAAGAGCAATATATAAAATTTAAGCAAAGCGGGCTTAAACCAATGGTGTTTTGAAAAGAAAAACGTATCAATACTATTTACTATTTGTAATATATACATCTGGGTCAAGATCTGGATGCAAAAAGTCATTCGTTTGACCTGTGCTGCTCCTTAAAAGAGCAATTATTAACCAGAAATTGCAAAGTTGATGTCATATGGATAATTATTATGCTTTTGATAGTAATAAAGAAACTACATTAATATTAAATTTCCCTAAGCTCACTTCATTTTATAATAGAGAAAATAGGAGCTTTATAATTCAAACTTCAACTTTTACCTCCTCTCAGTTTATGAAAATAAAATAAAAGCAAAAAAAAATAAATTACTAAAATTTTAGTTTACTAAAATAAAAAATCCTAATCAAGCTTTAAAAATGCTTCCTCTAAAACATTATATTTGTTCTTTAAAAGACTTATTTTTTTACTCAAATCATTTGTAGTCAATTTATGTTCATGTATAATAAATAAATTTAGTTATAAATTATACATGTTTAATACCTGTATCCCCACACATGTAAGTCAGGGAAAACTCTCATTAAATAGGGAACTTTCTAGGAATTTTACTTTGACTGTCTGGTAGCCACCCTGCTAACTATATAATAAAATTATTAAATTTTTAGTACTTGTTTAAGGAACAAAATTCCATTGATAATCGATTAAAAATAGTGTTGAATATTTATGACTTATTTTACTGAATAGATGTTTAAGTAAAAATATTAATTCTTTATTTTATCATTGTGAAAGAATGAGGAATTGAGAAGAAAGATTGAAGATTATGAAAAACTTGACAAAGTACAAAGAAATGTTTCTGGTGACATTTCATCTTTACAAGCAGACCTCAATGAATACAAGTCGAGGTAAATAGCATGTCATTTTGTTAAATTTACAATATAATTTAATCGATATAAATCAATTCACTTAGCGGTACCCTATTCTTAAATAATTTAAATTTCAAATCGCTCAAATGTTTTCAGATTAGCATTAGAAGAAAAATCAAAAAAGAAAGAGATAAGTACATTAAAATTGAGGTATGATAACAGACTTTCAATAATCACGGATGAACTCGTCAGTATGCAGTCACAAATGGCCAGGTATAAGAAAGAAAGAGATTCGTACAAGCACTTGCTAGAAGCTGCTCGCAGGAACATCGCTGATCTCAAAGCTTCAGGCAGTTCGGTCAAATATACCACAGATGTAAATTTTAATTTTATTCGTATTTTGTGTTTTGGATTTTATACTTATTTTACTAAAGCAGTACTTCTGTAATCAATTAGGAAACGGAATGGAGAAATCAAATCGCCATTCTTGAAAACCAAATTGCTTCCCTCGAGGACGACCTTTCAGAAGCAAAATCTGAAAAATCTAGGCTTAAAACTGAGCTAATATCAGAGCGCTCCCAATGGGAGGTCAAGAACTCTGAATTAGTATCCAGGTTAAATGAGGTTAGTATTACTTCGTATGTTATTTGTTTTGTTTTTTCTTGAGATTGATTATGACATGTCATATTGAGACTAAAAATTATTCTAATTTATCTTACTTTACCAAAATATATTACATAGTTTTCCATAATATTTCAGCTTGAAGAAGAAAGAATCCTCAACAGCGGAAGAACAAAAATTACTGGAACAAAAACAAGAATGGAACTGGCATGGCACAAGGAAAGGGAGGAGCAGCACAGGCTTCTGCAGGAGACGTCAACCCTCGCCAGGGACCTGAGGCAGACCTTGTTCGAGGTATTTTATTTAATTTTACATTTATATTTGATTATAGGCATTCATGCTTAAAATATATATATTTTTTTCTTATCAGGTTGAAAGGGAAAGAGACAGAGAAAGGCTTGATGCTAAGAGAAAATTAGACCAACTGAAGAAATCCAACGAAGAAGAACAGGAAGAAATAAGAAAGAAATTGAATGAAGTAAAATATGTTTATTAATTTAACAGCATTTAGAAGAACGGAACCAATCCACATTATATATTGTTTTTTAGTAAATTCAAAAGTCATAGTTAAATGACATGGAAATCAGAAGGCTTTCTGATAAGTTTTTTTTTTTTATCACATACCTAATTTTATTCTATCCAATATACCTAATTTTATTCAACCCAATATATTACTATAAAAGAAGCGATAGGTTGATCAAAACTGAACTTTTTTTTAAATTTGGTTCTTTCTTTTTTTTATCTATTTCAAATATTATTTCTGAGCTTAGATTTTCTAGTAGATATGAGATACCTACCTGATCCATAAGATTGTTCTTTTCTGTCAAAACATATATAACTCATTTTTGTATATTTTGTGGAATGGTTCCTATCTGCTAAATGTCTATCCTACTTTCACCATTAATAAAAAAAAAACCTTGAAATTATTTTAAAAATCAATACAAATTGATACAAATTTAGAAGCGAAATTGATTATCAACCAATAATAATGTTTGATAGGTTTAACTGAATAAAATAAAGATGGGTTCAGCAAGAGCCTATGTGATTATTGTCATTGTCATTTCAGTGATTTTCAATGTCAGTGATTGTCATTTGATAATGTAATTAGTATATATGTATATCATTATATTTATTTAATCATTAACAAGGTTGCTTACATAAAAAACTTATTTGTTATGTACTCAAAACTTGAAATTTATAACACAACCCAGCTCATATCTTCAGTAAATCGCCTCTATTTAATAGCTTGAACTACAGGTTTTCAGATAGATTTTTAATTTTTTTATCAGAACCATTCTTATTGTTGTTATCCTCCTTTTTCCAACCTGAAATGATTGCTCCCCCTGCTGGAATGATCTGGAACTGAAAGGAACCAGCTGTTGATTTGATTCTTCATTTATCACTAAAGGACTAAATGTTGTTTTGTTAGCTGTTATGAAGTTATTTCTCAATACAGTTATAAATATTTATTATATAAAAAAATATTTTAGCAATTCTTATCTTATTTACTAAATGTCTCTTTTTGAATATTTTGTTGTTTTGTATTAATATTGTTACATTTACAGATGCAGTGTGACCTGCTAGAATTGAGGGATGCTCATGCCAAGCTGAGGACTACTAACGAAAAATTGAGACGTGAGAAAGATAAACTTGAAAGGGACAGGGATTTACTAAAGCAAACTATCACAATAAAAAATAATATGGAAAAAGAAGAAGAACGTCAAATTATAAGTGTCGCTCAATTAGTAAGTCTATTACTTTGAAGCTTATGAATTAGAAGTGTTTAAAAGTGCACGCTGTGAACGTTACGATCTCAGTAATACAAACTAATTGCTGTCAGGAATGTTTGATTTACTATAAAGAGGATATTTGGGAAATGTATGTATAATAAGATATTAAAACTCAATAAAGTGATGCAACTTTATTAAATGAATACATACATATGTATTCACTTGAAAACATGGAGTTTATATAAATCAAAATCTCTTTTAAATTACTCAATGATTTTGATTAATTAAATCTTTAGAAGATTTTTCTCAATTCTTCTTTTATTAGACTTTCTCTAATTGTCTATCAAATATTGTGTCTGAAACAAGGCACTGTGTCTTCATGCTTTATTGTCATTTTATCTTATAAAAGAACAAAAAGAATAGTAGATAACAAGGAACGATTTCGGGTGCGTAAAAACTGAGAAAATTCTCGCAAATTTGGCTAGGCCATTAAGCGTCTTTTGTTACAATGATGTAGAGATGGTTGACCGTTGATATAATATGAGAAGGAGTTGAGCAGGGGGTGCGGTCAAATTAATACTAAATTAAACAAGTAGAATTATTTAATTTTTGCCGACGTTTCGACCCACTTTGCAGGTTTTCATCAGGGCTACAAAAGATACAAAACATGGTGAAAATAAAATAAATGAATATAAGTAGATATAAAATAAGAATAAGTTGTCTGATACAGAAATAAAAAGATATCAGAATATAAAAGATGATATAGTGGGAATATAGAATATATAAAAAGATGATATAGTGGGTGATACAGAAATAAAAAGATGACATCAGAGATATAGTGGGCGTCTTTTGTTATAACTTTTTCTCTGGTTCTGTGCATCAATTTTATCCTTTTATAAAAAATTTCCCCCACTCCCCTTTCCTCGGTTTTTGTTTTATTTTTTGATCAGCTTAGATTACTGTATGTGGTATTTGGACTTCTGAAGTTGGGGTTACTGATATTGCACTTTAATCATAAATATCTATCTTAAGTTGTAGAAAGCTGTTTTATTTACATATATAATTTACCTGTAAAAAAAGGTAAATTCAATAAATTGGGTATTATCAGATTTCTGTCTTTTTTGGATTCATAACTTCAATATCTGACAATTTATAAAAATGCTGAATCTATAACTTTCATATCCTCCTCATAAATTTTTACATGCAATAATATTGACAACATTACTGCCAGTCTTGTCAAATATGCTTGTCTTTAAAACAGCAAATTGTTGTATTTATAAGCATTTATAGCTTACTTTTCTATATTTTAGTTTCTTGTATCGTTAAGTACGACAGATGGATTATGTTTAATTCACAGAAAGATTAATTTAAAAAAATTCAAATGGATTTCATTAGTTAGTTACTGTCATTCTTATATTTATTATTCAACTAAATATAGTTAATAAGAATTGAGACTAAACTCTCCTTTCCGTTATAGTTTATTATTTTTTCTGTACTAAGGTGGAAGAATTGACTGTGTTGGCTCCTGACTTGTTCCCGTCCAAACCAAGGCCTCCTGTAGTCATGCCAACGCCACCAGCTCGGCGAAAAGTAAGTCAGCTGTCTAGCTTTCGATAAAAAAACAAAATATACTTGTCAGATGTTACAATCAGATTTGTATTCTAGGGACCTAAATCAAGAGAAGCATCACCTAATCTTGAAAGGAAAGACTACAGCAGAGGTAGATCAACCCATCTATCATTGTATATTAACTGTTATATTGTATAATAACTGTTTTATTTTTAATTCTTTGTGGTGGTTTCAGACCAATTAGTATGTTTTCCCAGGGGAGTCAATCATTCTTTTCTAATTTCATTTTGTGACATGGTAAAGATATAATAAGAGAGAAAAATTGACTCCAATGGATAAGAGAGTACCGGGATGACTGATATTATCAAGTCTTGTATTTAATTGGTGGGAGCAGATAAATTAGAACCATGAGATGTGAAATGATTTAAGAAAATTACTTGCTTACAGATAAATCACCATTTTTTAAAAACTTATTGAGAATAATGTAAAGCAAAAAGTGATATTTTAAGTCTCCCTATATATATCATATAGTATATATTAATCAATTATTATTTTTTGGAAAAACACTGAAAATTAAACATATTATTTAAAAGGAAGATCATAAACTTTAGTATATGATTATGTTTTTTAGAATCATCTATTGGGAGAGATGATACTAAGAGCCAAGAAGTTCAAGAAATCTTACGGCGCCTCACTGAAGCGGCAAATCAATTGAAAAAAGTTCAACAGGAAGATAAAGCTACTCTGAGGAGAGCTTTTGGCTCCTACAGGTACAGACCTGCCATTTGTCCAAATTGTGTTTAAATTGTCTATATATTTGGCTCCTATAGGTACAGATCTGTCGTTTGTCCAAATTGTGTATGTATTTTAAATGGACAATACATCATTCAGTATTCTGCGCAATACGTTTTGTTTTCGGAATCTCAAGAGATACGCATATAACCCAGTATTACACCAAGTTGAAGTGGCTCTATCCATCCAACCGCCGTTTGTACTTCCTTGCTACCTTTCTATACCAAGTCATCAGAACTCAGCGGCCTTCCTATATTTTTCACATCCTACAATTTAAATATTCCATTCAATCCCGTCCCACTAGATCTCGTACCTCCGACCTCTATCCACCTCCACACCGAACTGCAGCGTTAAGACAAATCCTTTATAATTCAAGCCGTCTCCTGCTGGAATACCATCCCTCCCGATATCCGACATGTACAATCAGTTTCCTCATTTAAATCTCTCCTTTTTAACCATCTACTCCTTTCCCAACCCGATTGATCATAAAATGCAGTTAAGAGAACTTTTAAAGTTCCCCCAGAAATGATTTTCTTTACTTATGCTATTTTATTTTCTCACGTCTGTATTACACATATCAGTATGTTTTTAGTGTAATAGTTCTATTTTTTGTTTTATTCTTTTTTCAAAACCTTAATCTTAATAATAATTGTAAATAATTAATTTTATGTATGGCCACACAGGCATTTATTCTGTATCTGTAATTTGTCCTAAAGAGACAACAGTCCCAGGATAATAAAAAAAAATATTTTCATTTCATTTCATTATCATAATACCTTTTTAACAAGAATACAAAGGGTCAATCATACCTTAAAATCAACAAATATAGATCAAGTTGTGCCTTTCTGGTTTTAAACCAAGGAAAAAATCTTAAAGAAAGCTTTAGGTACACCATTTTTTTTTTTTTTTTTTTATTTCTTTATGACATTTACAACTGTATTACATAAATACATCAAGTAAATTTGGACATAATTGATATAATAACATGAATACACTTGCTGAGTAACTACCCAATGGTAGCACTCTAATGATATGACTATATTAGGAGATCACGGGGCCATCTTCTTTTCAGACGCCTCGGAGGGTTATCAGGAATTGAAGAGGAAGCAAGATTAGAAACGAGAGGGTTGGGATGATTCTGAAGTTTATTATGGAAGGATAGGTATCTGGATTGGGCCAGATCTGAAACATAAGGAACATTAAGATCTTTATGGATAATTTTATTAGTGACAAAGTAAGGAGCATTGAGGATTTTACGAAGGATTTTGGATTGTAAGGATTGGATGCGAGAGGAATTCGATGGTTTAGTGGAGCCCCAAAGCTCAACTCCGTAAGTCCAAATAGGTCTTATTATAGTCAAGTATATAAGTCTTTTGTAATTAATGGGAAGTTTAGAGCGTTTGTCTAGTAAGTGCTGAAGTAATCGGAAACGTCGAGCGGTTTCTTGTCGTTTCAGTCTAGTATGAGGATTCCAAGTTAGTCGTTTGTCCAGGTGGAGTCCTAGGTATCGGATTTGCTCAACAGGGATAAGTGGAGTATTGTTAAAGGAAACTGTAGGACAGGAAGTCGTTGGTTTACGACGAAGGGTAAAGGTAATTTGGTGGGATTTATTGGAGTTTATTTTAATTCTCCAGTTTTGACACCATCCTTCTAGATTTATGATGTGTGATTGAAGCATTTGGGATGCAATTGCTGGGTCATTGTTTACTGATAGGATACATGTGTCATCGGCATATGTGGTGATGACAGTGTTGGGACAGGTAGGGATGTCAGCTGTATAAACTGTATAGAGGATAGGACCTAGGATACTACCTTGAGGAACACCAGCAGACTAGGAAAAAAGGGATGAATAGGCGTTATTGTGATTTACTTTAAAGTATCTATCAGTAAGGTAGGAACGGATAATGAGGAAGTATGTAGGTGGTAGGAATTTTCGGAGTTTGTACAGCAGTCCCGGGTGCCAAACTCTATCAAACGCCTGTTCAACGTCGAGAAAGACTCCCGTACAGTACATTCCGCGCTCCAATGCAGAGGAGACTACGTCTACCACACGATGACATTGCTGTATAGTGGAATGGGAAGTTCGGAAACCAAATTGGTGATCTGGGATTATGTGTTTAGAATTTAGGATAGGGTACAGGCGTTTTAAGATGAGTTTTTCTAGGATTTTGCCCATGATGGGTAAAAGAGAGATAGGACGGTAAGAGGGTGGGTATTCTGGTGGTTTTTTGGGTTTGTGGATCATTTTAACAATAGATCGTTTCCAAAGATCAGGAAAATATGTAGAACGGAGTACAGCATTATATATATAAGTAAGGAATAGGATGGCTTTTCGAGGAAGAAGTTTTAGGATCTGGGATGTAATTAGGTCATGTCCAGGAGCTTTACGGGAAGGTAATTTTTGAATGATGTTGGATATTTCTATGGGATGAAATGCTTTGGGTGGCAGAGACATTTGGAGAGGAATATCCAGTTCTGCTTCAATACAATTGATGTGAGTTGAATTAAGGATATCGGGATGTGGATTAAAAGTTTGGAAAAGATGTTGTCCAAATAGTTGGGCTTTTTCTTCGTCGGATTAGGTACACCTTAATATTGAAAATCGTGTGCTTGGAGGTTAATTTTTATTTTATATTATGACTTTGGCTGTAATCAAATCATCATTGTTGACATATAAGTATTTAATTTTATTGAAAATTAATGAATTTTGAAAATAAAGATATTATAAGAAATGCACACATTGAAAGATTAGGAGAGACTAAAATTTATTAGGTGTGAATGATACAATATCGTGCAGTTTTTGTTCCCTCTCTCTCTCCAAGAGAAGGAATTCACAAGATATTTTTTAGCCCCTAATATTCATGCAATACGAGTTCCTTCATAAGAATCTCTGTGCATTTACTAGGAGGGAGCTGTTTAATTTTCTTTATTGTTTAATAAAACTTCTTTATTGAAATAAAAACTTCCAAGTATAAAACAAATTCCTTATTTGTTTACCACTAGGAGGGTGGTGGTCCATATATTATTATTTTATGTATTTTTTTTTTATAAACTATTAGTAAAAACTCCTTAATTCTATAAGTACAGAAATTTAAGGATTTATTTTAGTGGTTTTATTAGAAAATAAAATTTAATTCTCACAGACTGAAATCAAATTTGTTTCCTCTTTTCATCAAAATTGTCTTATCTTGTTCTTTATCCTGCTAAAATATAAATAATGTTCTGCGAAAAAAAAAAAAAAGAAACATGATAACAATAAGTTATAGACATCAATTAGTCCTCTTGTTAAATTTTTCTGAAATTGCAATTTTGTTTTACAGATCCTCTTCAATTGACTCTGATGGTGGAAGTGATATATCTTCAGTAAAAAGAAGAAGTCTTCAACGAAAACCCAGCGTCCTTCGTAAAAGTTTATCGTTAGAGCAGACTACCGCTCAGGAGCAGGTATTTTAGGGTTGATTACAATACATACTAATTGAGTATATCATCTACTTGTGAACTGGTGTTTCTTTCTTTTACTTTCTTTTCCTTTAAACATCACATAGTCTATTTCACAGTTCTAAATTCCTTAACAATTTCTGAATCCAGGTTTGACCTGTCATTAGTTAATGAGTGATATCAACTACTCAATTTTTAATGCTTTATATTATTTCTTAAATAGAATTCTCTCTTAATCGCTCTCTTTATTTGTTTGTTTTTTAGCAAGTCTGGCAGATGGATGACAAAGAGGGAAGCATGACAAGTGTCCAATCTTTCGAGGATTCTGAAAAATTCCGACAAAGTCTCTACAGGAGAGAAAATAGTTTAGACAGGTTAGGATATATAATCAATCCAAGTCAAAATCACTTTTCATCTCGTATGGTAAAATGCTGTTTTACTTATTCATTTTTTTTAATATGTACTTTACTTATAGTCGGTTATCAGGAGGATCAACACAGAGTGAAATTATTCCTTCTGACAAAAAGAAGAAATTAGGACTATTTGGAAAATTGAAAAAGCTTACCAAGTCACGTAGCATAGATCAAGAGAGTGATGCTGGGTCTACTAGTCAGGTACAGAAGTCAATTTTTTTATTGAAACAAACTCACTATATTGTTAATGTTTTCATTGTCTGCTTCTATAGTAAAAAATGAAAAATACCATCTGAATCATTTTCATATTTAATAATCTAGAATAAATTGATTTCATATCAAAGATAATCTAGATTTTGGTGAACAAAAACATGAAATCTAAATGATGTTTTGTTTTATTATTCTGTGAGCTGAATTTCTAAATGTTATTCAACTAAAAAAAATATTTTCTGAACCAGTAATGAGGTAGTCAACAAAAATATTGTCAGTTCACTAAATTTATACGACCAATTAGAAAACTGCATAGTTCATAACTTAAACTGAAGCGTTAGCCACTCCAATATTTTTTTATCTTACCTATATCTGTCAAAGACATTTCCTTCTCATTCCTAATTTCTTGCAAAGCTTTTTCTCTTGCGAATGCTAAATTTGATTAAGTTATCTTCATTTTTAATGAAAGATAGTCTTCAGCACTATGATGCAATTTGAATCAGAACTTTTTTCAGAGAATACTATAAAGTTTAGTTTTTAAAAGCTTTTTGTAGACAAAGAGGAATCATCATTAATTTAAAACAATTTTCAGTTGGATCCAGGTTCAGATTCCAGTTTAAACACTGTCGACGAGAGAGTTGGAGGAAAGCAATTCAAAGACAAACTTAGTGGAATGTTCAAGAAATCTGGTTCAACCTCGAGGGGAAATAGGTAACTATTATGATTGGTTCAAATCAATGTTTGTGCCATCAAGAAAAAGATTTGTGACTCAGTTTGTAGCATAGCATCATGAACATTAACCTAACTATGTCATGACTATTCGTGTTAAAAAAAAATGAAAAAAAAAATTAGATGAAGTGAATTTCTTAATTTTTCAATCATTGTTCCAATAATATATTTTTTTTTATGATTGAAAAATAAAAATAGTATAAATATCACATTAAACTACTATTAAAAATAATAGTTAAAGTGAATTAATTGGATAATTCAGGCAGAAAAAGTTTTAAGTTTTTGTTTAACATTATAATTATTATGTAAAATAATCACATTTGTTCATTTAACTATTTTTGCTTTTTCTGATCAAAATGTCATATTTTCCAATTGGAGTTGAATTAGTTCCATGAAACAGGAATTAAGGGCTGCTTCATCTTACCTACTTATAAAAAGCATTATATTCCAGAATAGTCATCTTAAAGTACACTAGATCTGATTGTAAGAGCTCTTACTCCAAACACTATTTTTAGTTTATTACATAAATTTCAAGGGACTGTTAGTAATATTTATTTATATGCAAGTTAACAATCATGCCACCAATATTATATTAGTTTCATATCTAAGGGTCCAAGACAGTTGACATCTTACTGAGAAAAATTTAAATTTCCTTAACTGTCACACAGGAATATTTCAGTACGATAATTTTGGTTGTAAATAAAGAAATTTCTCATGTATTAACATTTAAAGCTCCTGATGGATTGAAATTATCGAAAAATATTAAAATGGAATGTTCAGGCTCTTTTAACCTTCAGCTATATGGGTTAATATGTAATGCCATATATATGTATATAAACTAATGATATCAGGTCTTGTTTTCATTGCTGCATATGGCCTTTCATTTCGGTAAGTAAACTTAACTTTAACAACATGTTTTTCAAAATATTATAAATCTTTATTTTATTTCCACATATAAATGCATTTTTACTATATTTTGATTTAAAAAAATAATTCATAAATCTATTTTAAAAACAGCGGTTTTAAGTTATACTCTCAGTATCTCTAATATTTTGATAGGCTGTCCTCAACAGGATCCATTCCTTTCCCACCTTCTTAAATCTAGAATTGAGATTCTTGAGTTTATTTATGAATAGCAACATAAACCCTTTGGCATGTTGTTGTTCCTTAATCTACGTAAAGAGGGAAAATCTCCAAATTAATGTAGTGCACAACCATTATTGACTCTTTATCTCCATTTTCAAGTTTGTTGGAGAAGAGGATCATAGTTAATAACCTATCAGCCTTGTTATCAATTACATATTTAGTTATAAATTAGCTTTACATGTTTTTATTTCATCAAACAAGGGTAAACGCACCAGTTATGGACAGATTGGACTTTAAATGTAAACTAGTTGGCCTGTGCGAATAATTCACAGAAAATTTTGTTTAATGAAGGAGGAATTAATTGTTTTCTCTTTGTCGATAACAATATTTCATTTAACATAATAGACCAAAATATTAGTACATATTGCTTTACTGACGCCTGTTTTTAAACGCTGACTGGAAAGGTAATATTCTAAATAAAGCCTCCATCATGGGATTTTCTAAATTATTAAAATGTACAAACAAAAAAATGCCTTTATGAAATAATAAAATATATGTCAGTCAGGAAAAAAAGGGTAGTAGAATAGTAAATGCAGTATCTTTAAAGAGGAAGAAATTATTAAGTGACTATATCTTATAAAAACTAATGGACTATATCTTGTTAATAATTGTCCCATTTTTACGAGTTTTTTTTTAATATTGTAGGTAATTTTGTAATTTTTTTAATTACCTCCAATTAACTTTTTATTTAATAACCTAAGTTATAAATTATTTAGGGGGTACATTTTGTTTCATTTCGTGTAGTTTATAAGGCCCTATATTCCTGCTAAATTTGGTGTTGATAGATGGAAGAGTATTGAAGTTATCAAACTTTTTGTGATTTTCAGAAATAAATCCATAAGGGGCCTTGATTCCAATTTGTATAAAAAAAAATAATTAATTTTTCGATTGATATGAAAATTCGTATTTGAGAATCTTTCGAGCTGCTAAATACAAATCTCAACTCTGTTTCTCCTTAAAAAAATATTTGAATATTACTTTACTCCTTTAGTCGGTACAAATCGTTTACATTTTACAAATTTCTAATCGAATTCCGTGTTTTTTTTTTTTTGTTTTGTAAGTAATTTAGTAATCTTTCTAATTATCATGGGTACCATCAAGAAAAAAATGCATAATTTTTGAGTTATTCGCAAATAAAGTTTCTTTTACTTCTTAACTTTTCCTTAAATTTTGTTGGATGTGACTATTTTTCCCACCTGAAGGTTAAGATCTTTAAAATGAGGGCTCAATCATTGGATTTGATGAACAATCGACGAAGTTATGGTGTTGAGACAAAAAAACACCTTTTAGAAATAATATATAAGATAATAAGCTTCCTTGTTGATTTAAAGGTTCCAGTTTTTTCTATATTGAACAATGCCTTCTATTGACAACTGCATGAATAAAGATCCCAAAAGAAAATTTTAAAATGCCAATCATTGTTGTTTCTATAATGCTCTTGAGATTAGTATGTTTCATACCTATTAGCAGTTTTGCTAAGAGTCAAGTTGAACATTTATCTGATCTTTATAGTAAACAAAGATTTTAGAATTCTTCTGAGGTATGTCCATTACTGGTACCGACCCCCTGTCCATTATCAGAACAATTGAATTTTGGTGTGTCCATTGCTAATACAAAAAGGTTGTTTTTTTTAATGGATATTATACCTGCTAAACTGAATATTTATTTCAATTTTAAAGTGTTACATAGAAAAAGGAGACCCTAGAGAATCTAAATGTCAAACAGAGAAGATTATAACTGTAATAATTACAGCAGCATAAGCCAAAAATTTCCTTAGTTATGTCCGTCATTGGTCCGTTTACCCTGTATTATAATATATTAGTGATATAATTATAAATAATGTAGTCCTTATGAGTAATATTTATAACGAGTTCAGGCTTTTATTTGCTATGTCATTAATGATTCAGGAAATTACAATTTTTTGAAATAATGTTCAAAAAGTATTTTTTATAATGTGATATGAACAAGTCAATGTATTTACAATAGAAAGTTAATGTTTTCAGCCAGGAACGTAGTTTAAAATCTCCTACGACGCCTAAGAGCAGAGATTCTACACAGCGACCATTAGTCAGTTCTGTAAGTTGTTATGTTGTATTGTTATTACTATACGTAAATGTATTTGAATGTTTATATATATGGTATATATAAATATATTTATACATCAAATACTGTCTACTTAGCCTGGCGATTCTTCGTCCAGAACGGTGACTCAAAAACCTCCCAACACAGCTCCGGTTCAACGCAAGATGAAAAAATGAAATGCAAGTCTAAATGAGGAGCAAGGTGTTTAATTTTATACCTGTTTTATAAAAAAGAAAGGAAAAATGTGTTCATATATAATTTAAAAAATTCAAAATGTCAATATAAATAATAAACATAATAGATTTGTTTATTTAGGCTAGTTCTTGTTAATTATTACTTTTGATATTTGTACATTGCTATGTTGTTTCCCTTCAAACCTCTATAGCAGCTGCCAGTAGGAGAACTGCTATTTTTATTTTAAGCAGCCATGTTTTCTTTTTTTTTTAATTTTGATATTTTCCTTTTATTTTCATTGTAAGTTAACATTGAATTACAATAGTTGTGTGAATGATGTCAAATATCCTACAAGAATCAATTACCATATAATATAAGTTAATTACACCTCTGTGTATAAAATATATCTTTTTAAAAAAATTAACAACTCAATTGATACCTGTATCCTTATTTTTTTAATTAATCGCTGAACTCATTGAAGATACACAAACTGAACAGTTCTCTTCATAAACAAAATAAAACTGACTGGCCAAGTTGTTTTTTTTTTAATTTTATTTAGTTCAGTTTTGTTCCACAAATGATAGTAAATAATGAGGGAGATATTTTTGCTCATTGATGTGGTACTTGTGAACAATCCCATGTACTGCTATCTGCTAATGTTTGTACCTGAACACTGATATTTCTGATAATCCTTATCTTCCTATTCATATTTATGGGAATTGAAATAGACAAAAACATATTTATATTTATGGATATTGAAAAACACAAGAACAAATGTAATAATAACAAAATACTTTTATTTTACAACATATATATGAAATAGACAAAAACAAATGTCATATTTATGGAAATTGAAATAGAGAAACATCAGAAAAAAATACTCTTGTCTACTTCAACAACTTTGCCAGGCCCTCCAATTTTTTTATTTGACCTGTATAACATGTTATGGGTACAAACCTCTCTTAAAAATTTGTTCCACATTATCACACTTTTGTTCAGTAATTTCAGCTGGTCATTGCCCCACTGTATTGTTAAATTATGAGACCATCCATTTGAACTATAAAGAATGAAAATATACATTTGAACAATAAAGAATGGAATAACCCACACGTATAGAAGGATAACAACAGCTTACAGGAGACAAGAAGGGAGGTTATGTGACATAACATAAGATAAGAAGGGAGGTTTCGTCGGGACTGGATTCTTCACAAGTACCATAGATGTAATCAAGAAGTTGGTTGGAAATAGCGATCAAGAAAGAAAAATGTATATTTAAATTACTGTCAGATTCTCAGCCTAGGTCAGGGGCTTCCAAACTTTTTGGACTGCAGGCCACATTGAAACCTCTACTAAGTCCCGTAGACTTCCAATAAGTCCCACGAGCCGCATGACTTGTGATGACAAATAAATTTTTGTTCTATAATTGACACTTCAGTTGTGAAATAAGATTTCTAATAGAAACAATTCATGCAATAAATGTTGTAGTAACATCGTGTTTGAGCGATTAACTAAATATAGTAATTTTAAATAGTTTTAAAAATTTTACCTTGAAATCAAAGATATATGCACGGGTCGTAGTTTGGAGAACTCTGGTCTAGGTTACAGGCTTATGTTAGGCGGTGAGTCCAGAAGTTAGGGACCAAGTTGTTGCATATTTGGTCCCTTGTTATAGAACATCTCAACTGATGATAAATGTGTACTTATGATGAGAGGTCGGCAACAGAAGACCTGTTTGCCATTCATCACAAGCCGTTCATTGTTTCATTCTTGATAATATTGAGAATATAAAGTTAGTTAAAATTATACTAGCAAGATAGCTCAGTGGGTAAGGCATTAAGCTTTTATCTCCTGTGCCTAATTGGATACTTGCATGAAAGAAAGAAAAAAAATCAAGTGAATTTGAGCTGTAGTGCAATTCAAATTATAGAGGTTGTGATGATAATTTAGATTGAACTTTTCAAATAACAAAAAAACATTCATATTTATCTAAAAATTTGAAATAACTATGTATCTTGGAGGTATGGTGAGGATTGGAAATGTGGCAAGGGTCCAACGTGGTATCATACGTCTCTCAGTCCTGCTTAATAAACATGCATTTCTAAAAGCTTATAAAATACATTTCAAAATAAATATTTCTATTCATAGACGACAGAGGATGAGAGAAAGAGCAGAAAAATATTTCTTTGATGGGAGTTTTAAAGTTGGAAACAATATTCTAATCTAACAGGTGTGGGATTCGCAATGGTATGAGCTAGGCGCTGCACGGTGGGACGAAATGCTCTAATTGTTTAAAGCCCTTTTTACCAATAGAATTCAATAATTTTTGTAATTATCGAGTTTCAGAAAATTTATCAATATGAAAAATTTAAATCCAAAAATAAATTACTTATTCACACTGGTTATCCGAATTTCTCTCATTTTTGTTTTAAAACCTTTTGAATACCATGTACATACAAAATATTTAAAAAATAAGATAAATTGAAATAACAAAAGATTTTAAAAACAATCGTAACTTGTGCCATATAAATTGAAGCTCCAAATTTTTAAAAATATTTATTAAAATTTCATGACTAAAATCTTTTGGAATTTCTTTAAAACATACTATAATATACTTCAAAGCCCAAAGATCATGTTAGTACACATTTTAAGTCATTATAGAAATTTTGGATTTTGGTCAATGACGCGACTTTTGCCTGACTCATCCCACTGTGCGCTGGCCGACCTATCACATAACAGAGTCTCCACTCTCTTGACATAGCTTCTTATCACCCTCCACCCCCCTCCCTTTTCTTTAACTCTAATTATCTTTGATAAAATACATTAGGACTTTTTGCAATTTTAATGTTATAATCTAACCTTCAATTTTGCTATTAATTTTTTTGTTTGATTTTTATATAATTATTATATTTAATCAATATATGATTAATTTAATACAATTAAACCCCTTTTAATCTCACACATTTTTACTTTATAATTAAAACATCTTTTTAACAAGAATTATTTTATGTTATGGTTCTAAAATGCCATTATCAAAAATATTTTATTTAAAAAACAAATTAACATTAGTCATGAAATAATTATTTATAAAACTTTTAAATATATTTGTACAAAATATACAGCTCAAAGGGCAGTAATTGTTTAATTAAATTTACAATTTCTTGTTGTTTTTTCTCTTTTCAACTTCCACAAATAGCCCTTTTTTCCTTCTCATTTTATTAAAAAACATCACTTATCAAGTATTATTCTAATCGTTGATTATGATTATGTCTATCTGTGATCTTAATCAGCAAGGTCCAGGTTATTATTATTTACTTTGTCACATCAAGCATGGATCGACCCTTGAGTGAAGTCGACTCTCTGAGACACATTTAGTTTCCACGGAAAAACCTGACTATTGAGAGTGGTCATGGTCAAATCACGTTGCACGTAGTACTGAATCCAAGACCCTTCGAGAGGTTTGGGTAGTGTTAAAGAATTTTTTATTGAAGTCAATTTGAGATCATAATACATAAGAGTTACTAAGGATTAGTTCTTCAACATGTCTTTAATTTATCAAAAATAAAAATTTTAGCATCAATAAAAATAAGGTGAGTGATGTTTTATAGAAAAATAAATATATACTTGAGTAATAGAACTGATAAACTGAGTAATAGAAAAATAAAATTTTTTATCTACATATAATAAATATAACGAGCAAATTATCAAATAGATTTATTTTTAAGAGAAAACATTATGAAAAATAAATAACCAAGGAAGCTCAATATTACTACAAATAAATATTAAAAAGATAAATAATGTGAGGCAAACAAATGAATTTTATAATAATTTATTTTATTTACAAAAAAATAAAACATTAATTAGTTGGGTTGCCATTTGTATCATATTACAATAAATGGCCAAAAATAACCCTAAAGGAAATTTTCCTTTTTTCTTGGCAATAAAATTTTGAATTTTTTAGATTATACTTGTTCTGATGTACAGAAATAACCACAGATTTCACATGGAAAACCAGTGAGGTTAAAATAAGTCATTCATTCTAATATAATGTATAAATTTTAATGCACTGCATCTATTATGTCTTCTACCCATGTTTTACTAGAAAATATTGTTTGAGTTAAAACAATAAATTTGCTACTTTTCTAAACTCAAAACTGTCAAGTACAAAACAGCTTATTGCACTTTGCAAAAAAAACAGCAGGCAACCCTTCCCTCTAAATAAAGTATTTACACTAACAGCTTGCTTCTCCGTTCTTCAATTGCTATCAGGGATGTTTTCCAGGCCCTGTAAAAATAACAATTATTTATAAATCTGTATAGCTAATAGTTATTAGATATACCTGTAAGTAACATAGTACTAAGAACAGTTGACGGAGATTGCAGTCAGGGAAGTACAAAAAGGCTAATTTTATGTTAGCTAGCCTTCAGTTAACTTTTTCCATATTGATGAACATGCTGATAGCAGTAGATTTCACTCACAACTGACAATTTAACGTTCTTTCATTTATTATATAGTACATTTTTTGCTTTTATGCATCATTTAGGAGTTATAGGTGAAAAAACAAAAATATATCAAAAAATCTGACTTTTTGGCTGTAAAAAGTTTTCCCTTGGTGGCCCGCGTTAGCAATTTTGTTTTGAACATGCCTGAACCCATATACACAAGTTAGACAAATAAAAACTTTTCTCACACTTTTCACAATGGATTTCCCATTACGATCCTCAAATTAATGACCTAATATTCTTTAAATCAGCTGCCATTTTTGAAAGCAGTTGCTCTGGAAGGGAAGATGTTCTTTTTACTCAGAATAACATACACTTTCATAATTTACAATCAAACCTTCACCTGTGGTAAGGTCGATTTTTGGCCCTGGCTCCAGGGCTATTATATTTACATAAAATTATTCAACTTCAACTATAAACAAAGCTGATCAAATGAAAGCCCTTAAAATTGTTACCGACATAAACTTATGCAGTCAATATGATAACATAATCAAGCAATGCAAAGTCGAAGTGCCTTTAGAACAATTCAAATAATTATTTATTTTTTTGCAGATTATCGGTCTATGTGCCAAATCACATACTATTATAACAGTAATTTTACACCTTAAGAAATCACATCTGAGCGCAGAATATTTCTTTCAAAATGTTTCTTTTCAATTTTTTTAATATTAATCAAGATGTAATTTGAATTATAAAAATCGTTTGCTAAAGGCACTTAGACCATTCTTCATTTCAACGTTTCAACTAAATTCAAACTGTCTAAGCAGCATTAACTTACTCGCATCACATAAGGATTTTTAAATAGATCTAAATCCCTTTGAAGCAATCCTTTATCAAATGGGAAGGTTCGAATATCACGCCTGTAGGGCTGTAAGAAAAATAACAGTAATGTAAATCTTCATTTATATGAAAATACAAATTATGCTTTCT